TTTAGGGTTTCGGGTTCAGGGCTTTTACTCTCCTACCCTGACGTCCGACGCAAGGTCCAAACTGCTCGCCGTAGCTGCTGGACTTCACCACTGTGACGGAGTTTGTGTCGAGGTCCGATGCCGTTGCAGATTGCTAAAGCTTTCCCTAAGGCTCATGGACCTCCATAGTGAAAGCCCAAACCTTAGCCCCCAAAGCCCAACCTTCCCCTAGAAAGCCCATAACAGCAATAAGAGCCTTAGGGCTTGACACAAGAACTTTCAAGGTTTTAGGCGCTAGCGGTCTCAGAAAGACCAGGACATTGCAGCCGCTACTAACCCCAAGCCCTACTCACACTCCCTAAATCTGTTTGCGGGTACTTAATATAAGGGCCTTAATAATGAGAATAGGTTTTTGGGTGTATTATATTATTTGTATAATAATCGATCAGGAACCCCCCAAAACCCTATTCTAATTTTTAAGGCCCCTACATTAAGCGTTCATGGTTGTAGGGCAGGGGGGGGCAGAATTTAGGGACCCTACCTGGACATCCCAAGCCCACCAACTTAAGGTCTTGCATAAGGAAGTCATACTGATAGGGAGCACTAGAAGCGTAGGTTTCTTGGGGTCCAGGTAAACCCTATGCGCTAAACCACGCAAACTAAATCCTATTCCTGAACTTGATCCCGCACACCCTAAACCCTAAACCCTGAACCCTAAACCCTAAACCCTGAACCCTACACCCTAAACCCTAAACTTTAGGCCCCTACAGTAGACCCTTAAGGACGAACTGACCCTTAAAAGTAGGGGCCCTATACCCTTATACCATGATTCCCTGCATGGTTTATGAACCCTAAACCCCTTTAGGGTTCATGTCGTCCTTAAGGACTATGCCCCAAGCTCCTCCCCGCGCCGAACTACAAACCGTAAGGGTTTAGGCTGTTTAGGGTTTAGGGGTATGCAATCCTAAAAGAGCCCGACAGACTCATTCTACATCGCTCATGAATCATGAAGCTCTTTCCTCAATCTTCTGGAAAGATCCTGAAAACCCTAACCTTCAACCCTTAAACCCTTAAACCCTCAAACCCTTAAGCCCTTAAACCCTTAAACCCTTAAACCCTTAAACCCTTAAACCCTTAAAGCCTTAAAGCTCTAAGCCGTCTAAACCACTCTCCAGGGCCGCCCGCCAGCAGAGGGTCTGGAGAGCTTCATCGCCTTTATCTCGCAGGACACCTCTGGTTTAGGATTTAAGGTTTAGGGGTATAGGGTTTAGGATTTAGGAATTAGGGTTTAGGGTTTAGATTTATGTTTTAGGGTTTAGGGTTTAGGATTTAGAGTTTAGGTTTTAGGGGGATTTAAGGTTTAGGGCTTGGTTGGATGGCGTTTGACAATTTGCCAGGCGTGTACCAAGTTCGCGAACCATAGACCCAGGCTTCGAGTTGTAGTACCACGTTTCTTGGATTGCTCATTGTATGGTTGGGAGTACAGAATACATAAAACCTAGCCAGGATCTAGGTAAGCTCTGGGCTCTGGGCTTCGGGTTTTACAGGGCTCTACACCCTAAGCCTGGGTTTAGGGCTTTAGGGCTTTAGGGTTCAGGTTTTCGTATGCCACTGCTAACCCATGATGGCACCGCCAACCTTAAAGCTAACACCGCTCCACCTCAATGCCCCAGACCCTGAAATCCCAAACCCGACCTCCTGTGTAGGCCAGTCAGTACCCAGGGACTCCAAGACCCCTTAATTAAGGAATATACCTTGAATCATATTGGGGATCCTATTATAGAATAAGGTATATTCCTTAATTAAGGGGTTTTGGAGTCTCTGGTACCCAAATGTCAGCGGCCCCAACGACACCGATGGCAATCTTTGCTACGGGAGTTCCACCACCTCCTCCGCCTCTTTGCCGCTGCCACCGCCGCAGCCTCTGCCGGGCTTGGCAGGAGAAGATGGAATTTTTGGAGACGAGCCCCGCGTACGCCTTTTCAGAGAAACGGCAGATAGCAGCGATGTCGAGTCCTTCGAAGGGGGAACCTAAACCCTAAACCCTAAACGCTAAAGCCTAAACCCTAAAGCCTAAAACCCTAAAGCCCTAAAACCCTGAACCCTAAACCCTAAACCCTAAACCCTAAACCCCCAAACCTAAAACCCGAAAGCACCACGGGCTGGTGAATGCTTTCTTTGCCTTGGCACCTCTGCCTTTCTGCCTTTTCTTCTCTAAGGTTGGGAGCATGGGCCCCTAATATGGACCCTTAGGCCTTTACAGGGACCCTGAAGGGGACATATAGGGTATATAGTAGGTGTATAAGGATCCCAGGGTTAAGGGCCCTAAACCCTAAACCCTAAACCCTAAACCCATACTAGGGGCCCATGGGTTCAACCTTAGTTTCAACCTGAGAGAGAGGTCTTCCTCGCGGTGCTGGTCGATGCCTTCGTGCTCTTCGGTGATCG